TGGAGTTATTTAAACCAATTGGCATCGGATTCAAAAAATTTCACACCTACCCGTATAACACAAAATGGTTCGGATTTCGAAGATTTACAGGATATTGTTGATATTTTTAACAAACACTTTACTGAAATATCCTGTAAATTATTAGCAGATATGTCAGTAGAAAGTTTTGATTCAGAATTATTAAATAGTTTTACAGAAACTAAACTAGGGAAAGAAAATGTTTTCAAAATAAATCATATAAGTGAGTTTGAAGTATTAAATATGTTGAATACACTTGATGTAAACAAGTCAGCCGGTATAGATTTGATTGGACCTCGTCTTCTAAAGCTTTCGGCAAAAGTTATATGCAAATCTATTACACATCTTATAAATACTAGCATCAATAATGGAGTGTTTCCATCCCGTTTAAAACAAGCAAAAGTTACTCCTATTTTCAAAAATGGTGACCACGCAGATCCAGGGAACTACAGACCAATATCCATTCTTCCAACATTATCAAAATTAGTTGAAAAACACATAGCCAATCAGATACGTGACTTTACCTCTAGCTTTGATCTCTTATTTAAATCACAATCTGGATTTCGAGAATTTCACTCATGTCAAACCGCTCTAACAAAACTTACAGATAATTGGCTACAAGCTATGGACCAAGGAAATTTAGTAGGCATAACTTTCATCGATTTTAGCAAGGCATTTGATTTGGTTAATCATGATATTCTTATAAGTAAACTTCAATCATATCACTTTGACCAAATGGCTATTAAATGGTTTCAATCTTATTTAACCTCAAGGTCTCAGTGTGTAAAATTAGGTACATATTCCTCTGATTTTTTGCCCGTCACAGCAGGAGTGCCCCAGGGATCTATCTTAGGTCCCCTATTATTTTTATTGTATATAAATGATCTCCCTTTACATGTAAATAGAACAGATATTGATATGTTTGCTGATGATGCAACCTTACATACATGCCATAAAAATGTAGAAGATATTGAAAATGCCCTAAACTCTGATTTGTGTCAGATAGAAAATTGGTGTTCCAAAAATCAAATGGTGTTAAATACCAACAAGACAAAATGTATGCTCATGGGAACTCAACAGAGGAAATCAAGAATAAATTCCCCTGAACTAAATTTATATGCGTCAAACAAATTAATTGAAAATGTTGAATCTGAAAAGCTTTTGGGAGTACATATTGATCATTCATTACGCTTTACTTATCATATTGACTCAGTTTGTAAATCTCTGACTTATAAATTGTATACTTTACGCAGAATTAAGAAGTTTCTTCCCTTACACACGAGAAAAATATTTTATAATGCATACATTCTGCCTTCTTTGAATTATTGTCTTACTATTTGGGGTAATGCGCCAGGTGCTGGCATAGATAGAGTTTTTAAATTGCAAAAAAGGGCAGCCCGGATTATTCTAGATGTAGCTTATGATGCCCCTTCACTACCATTATTTGAAAAACTTGGATGGCTGACCATTTATGAGTTAATTGATTTTCATAAATATGTATTACTGTACAAAACACTTCATGGTATGGCGCCAACATATTTAAGAGACTCCTTTGAATTTATTTCCTCTAATAGTTATGTTCTACGATCTGAAACGAACTATGACCTTCATCTACCAAAATATCGAACAAATCAATTTAAAAATTCTTTTCATTATTCTGGAGTTCATTTATGGAACAAATTACCTTTGCATATCCGTTTCTCACCAACTGTACAAACTTTTCGTAAAAATGTAGAAAAATTCATCATAACATGTAGAAACTAAAAGTTGTAAAATTTCATGTTCTTGAATCAATCTGTATATGTACATGTTTTTTCACGTCATGTTGTATTATTTATTATAATATTGTACGATTATTTTTAATATTGTATTATTGTGAATGTGTTTAGAGGGCCCCGAGGAAGACTAGTGCATTGCACTAATCGGGTTACCCTCTTTAAATAAAGTATTATTATTATTATTATTATTATTATTATTATATGTCAGGTCATATGATAATTGTACTTTAATGATATTCTAATACATATATAATCATTTTTAGGTAGTAATAAAGAAAGGACCGGTGTTTGGAAGAGAAGACAGCAAGTGTTCCTGTGCAGTTGGTAGATCTGGATCTTGTGGACACATTGTAGGAGTATTGTACTCCATTGCGCATATGAAAGCATCCAATCTTAAGGCAGTTCAGACTGATGTTGCCAAGACTTCCTTACCACAAACTTGGCATGTTCCAAGAGGTAAACATTTTTTGGTCTGTCTGTTTAAGCAGTTTTACACTTACAAGATTACCGATGCTCAATCTAATTAAAAATAGATGTTAGATCCGCTTGCATACTCGCTACACAAACTAAAATTAGATGTTAGATCCCCTTGCATACTTGCTATACTAACAGATGTTAGTAAAGCGAGTATGCGAGCGGATCTAACATCTAATTTTAATTAGATTGTATAGCGAGTATGAGAGCGGATCTAACATCTCATTTTAATTAGATTGACCAATGCTTTAAATCAAACTCTGAATCATAAATATAATTATGTAACCAGGGTTATTTATTGTTATCAATTCTACTTTACACTTGCGCTGCATGTATGTGAGAATGCGGTATGAAAGACTTTGTGTTAATGAGGTAGGGTAAGATGAATTTATTCTAAAGTAAAGTCTAGCTATTATGTTTTAATTATCTGTCTAAATGTCTGTCTGTGTGTTGTATATATGTTGTGTGTAATTGTAATATTTCAGGTTTTTCTGAGGTTTTATTTTGACCCTAGTAAATTATTGAACCTGAATCAGATTGTCATTTTTCTAATGTTCTACCACTGGCTACAATTATTTTAAACAAATTTAAAAATTACATGTAATATGTATTTAAAAAAAACATATAAATCATATATATATACATGCAAATTATCAGATGCACAAAGATACACATTTGAATTGCATTTGTTTCTTTAAAAATTTAAGTTTAAAATTTTTATTTTAGGTGAGAAAATTTGTGGCAGTTCATCCGACAATATAACTATCACAGGATTCAACACGAGTGACCCCAGGATGAAGACCCGTGGATTAAAGACAACCTTATACAATCCCTTAAATTCAGAGAGTTCACCGATAGGAGAACTGTGTGAAGCTTTGGCTTCCATTGACAAATCATGTCTTTTGTTATCAGTTGTGAGCCCCAGTGAGCAGCAGAAAGATGTGTGTACCAAGTTCGGGAATTTTCCTATAGGATCACCCATAGGAGTACAGCAGAAACTGCACAGTGAATACGTTCTAAATATCTTGGATGCTGAAGATTTCCCATCTTTACCGAAACAAAACACCATGGTCAACAATGTGGCAGTAGTTCTAGATTATAATAAATCTGTGAAACTGGAGTCACTGTCAGTGACGGAGATGCAGGCCCGTGAAATTGAATTTTCTACCCGCCTTCAGTCCCAGGATCCAAAATGGCACAAAATACGTCAAGACAGAATTACTGCATCTGTTGCAGGAGACATTGTACGACGGAAAAAAGGTTAGAATATAATCTATGAATGCCTAAAAAAATAAGTGTCTAATAATATTTGTAAATATGATATTAAGCATTTCTTAATGTAAAAATAATCATCTTTGTATGCCGAGTGTTATTGATACCTTACAAAACAACATTTTTTTATAGATTGTGATCCACTTGTGGCACGACTGAGGACCACACGGAAGGTTGTTTCAACAGCAATGAGACACGGCTTAGCATGTGAACCTACAGCTGCATTAGCCTATGTGCAGGTATGTAATATTTGATATGTCTAAATACATGTACATCATATCAAACTACTTCAGTTAAATTTTATATTGAATCAAAATTAATTTTCTTTATTAATTTTAGGCTATGGATGAAGATGTTAACATCTACCCATGTGGTCTTGTTATAAGCCCATGGTCACCCTGGATAGCAGCCACACCAGACAGGAAAGTGTTCTGCCCATCATTAACACCACCATACGGTTTACTTGAAATCAAGTGTCCTGTGAGATGCCTATCGGAGTGCGACTACCTCACCAAAGATGAAAATGGATACCACCTGAAGAACAATCATAAGTACTACCATCAGATGATGACCCAGATGGCAGTTACTGGACTTGAATGGTGTCATTTTTTTGTGTGGACACCTGAGGAATTTCATTTAGAGCTTGTGCATTTTGATGCAGATTTTTGGCAAGACATGAAAGAAAAGATAGATATTTTCTTTTTTTATCATTATTTAATGTGAATGCAATTGAGAAATAAATATAATTTTAAAAAATTTATTAGGACATGAACTAAAAAACTTCATGGTGGCATATTCATAAGGTGCCACCTCACTTTATGAATAATATTCTGGCTGGCTTGAAGGGTTATAGTTTATGCACCTCATGAATTTTTAGAAATCAAATCATATCTTATACATGTATTTACATTATTTATTTGATGATTTGCTACAAATAATGAAATTAAACAGTCAAGTTTGCTCTACAGTTTGGACAGCAAGTATAATTTTGTAAATGAATATATATAGATATTCATGCTTATGTCCCTCTTAGTTATCAGATATTTTTTTCCTCTGATTTGTAAAGAATTCTTATAGAAAATTATTGGAAATGTAAAAATTAAGAAAAAATTAAATATTTAGAACTTTACAATATCAATAACTATATATCTACTTTGAAAAAAAAAATGCATCTTGTTTCATATGTACCGATAATTAGTAGCATACATGTATTTTTACAAATCTCGAAATTCAAAATATATTATTGAAGATTTTTTTTATGAAATACAAGGCATGATTAATTTTCTTCTCTTGAACATTTACTTTTATTCCATAACATAGAGTACATAAACCTACAAGTACAAGTATTTCAATATAGATCTACATGTGCTACCCATAATCCTAATACTCCCACAGAGTACATGTGCCTGATTAATAATTTCTCCGAGTCTTACATACAAGTTTGAATGAACGTCAAAGTCATGCCCACTCTTTAATCAGAGGACCCCTAAAGAGAGTTAACATGTTTGCCACTGTCCATATCTGATTTATGGACCCAACCATACTTAGAGGAATAACACCATCAAAAATATGAAATTCCTTCACGCGGCGAATGTGGCGCTCAATATGTATACGCAATTTTGCAATCGTTTGGGTCTCCTCAATCTCTTGCATTGTGAACTGACCCTGGCTCATAAGAAAAGGGGGTATGTTAACACCAATGCCAGTCCCTTCCAGAATTTTGTTTAAAACAAATCCCTTGTCTGCCATGATTGAGTCCCCCCCTTCAAGTAAATCTATCAGACCACTAAGCTTTGTTATCTCTACATCAGACATACAGCCAGTGTAAAGACTTGAAACAAAGGTAAGGGCACCATGAGGTGCTATACCAACCAGTCCCTTCCATGTATGTGTACTCTTATATGAAGAGTAAAATTTGGAGCCAAGGACAAGTGAGGAGGGTCGCTCAGTTTTGATTTCTGTGCAATCAATTATCACCCGTGTTGTAGGATACATAATTTTAAAGCAATCGGGCATTTTTCTGTCAATCTGTTCTCTAGATGGCCAAATATTTATGCTTCCAAGTACAAAATACAAAAAATTTGCCCATGTAATGATTTTTCTGCTTACCGTGGAGATATGGCAGTTAAATCTAACTGCTAGATCTTGTTCCATAAGACCACATTTGAGGCGACACAAAAACATGAAAAATTCATCAATCAGCAGCATATTTCTTTGTCTGCCAGTCAAGTTAGGATTTGCATTGGCTGAAACTCTATAGTAATAGCTTGTCATGGAGCTTGCTGCTGGTTTGATAAATTCAAATACTGCAGTAAAAATAGAAAAAGTCATGAAACCAGTATAGAACATGATCATTGAATTGTCTTTTGAAAAACGCTCCACCCCAAATCTCTCGATGTCAAGTTTTTGCTGGAGTCTGGCAATGCTCTCGTCCCTTTCTCTTATCATGCTTTCCAGCATTTTGATTCTGTCGCTGTCTGAGGACACAAAAGATGAATCTTCTACTGGAGAGCAACTAAAAATCAAATGCATCAAATACTAAATTGACAGTCAAAAAATAATGATAATTGAATAAACTTAACTTACATGATTATCTTACTGCAGTGCCTGATGTTCCAGCATCAGTATTTGTAGGATGGTGTCAGCCAGCAACCAAAATGTCTGATGTTAATTAAATCATTCAAAATAGCAAAACTACAATTGCAAGTCGATATTGCTTTTTATATTAAAGAACCTATTATGTCCATTGTAAACAAATCTATAACCACCGGTATTGTACCAGATGATTTTAAAATGGCAAGAGTTAAGCCTTTGTTCAAGAAAGGAAATTCCCTTGAAGTGGGAAATTATAGGCCAGTCAGTATATTATGTATAGTTTCAAAGATTTTGGAAAAATGTGTCCATGTTCAACTTTTAGATTTTTTAAACAATAATCACTTGTTGTATTCTTATCAATCAGGTTTTAGAAACAAATTTTCAACAGATACTTATTTAATACATATGTTAGATTTTATTAAAAGTAATACATCAAAAGGGCTTTTTACAGGTATGGTAATGTTAGATTTGCAAAAAGCTTTTGACACTGTTGATCATACAATTTTATGTGATAAGTTAAAAATTTTAGGAGTTTTATCCACTGAGTGGTTCAAATCTTATCTGTCTTGTAGACAACAACAAGTTCATGTCAACAATACTTCTTCAGACTTTAATACGGTAAATTGTGGTGTTCCTCAAGGCAGCATCTTAGGACCTCTATTATTTTTAATATATGTCAACGATATGACTGTCAGTATTGATGATGACTGTAAATTAATTTTATATGCGGATGACAATGCCATTTTTTATGCACACAGAGATCCTGTTATTATTGCTCAAAAACTGGGCATTGTTCTTGACAAATGTTCTTCTTGGTTAGTTGACAATAGATTGTCAATCCATCTAGGTAAGATAGAATCTATTTTATTTGGTCCTCCAAGAAAGCTTAAAAGTATCATAGATTTTGAAATTGTGTGTAATGGTCATATTATTAAAGGTTCTGACAATGTTAAATATTTAGGATTCTGTATTGACAAGTTTCTTTCATGTGAAAATATTGTTTTAAGTATCATACAAAAGGTTAATGCTAGACATAAGTTTTTATATACAAATGCATCCTGACTTAGTACACAGTCTAGAAAGACCCTATGTTCTGCCTTGATACAATGTTATTTTGACTATGCCAGTTCTTCTTGGTATTGTGGAATAAACAAGCAACTGAAACACAGATTACAAGTAACCCAGAACAAAGTAGTACGGTTCATTTTAAACCTTGGTCCTAGAGAGAGTATTTCTAATAATATTTTAAACTCTCTAAATATGTTAAGAGTGGAGGATAGGGCTAAACAATTAAGATTAAATCATGTTTTTAATATATATCATGGAAATGCACCAGCTTACCTCCATGAACATTTTGTTTTAAATAATAATATCACAAGAAGTGCAACAAATAAGAATTTTATAATACCAAAGATAAAAGGGAAAGAGTCTTCATGTTTTTTCTATAATGCAATCAAAGATTGGAATACATTGCCCTTGGAGATTAAAGAGGTGAAAACAAAACAAAGTTTTAAGAAAGCTGTAAAATCTTATTTATCTACAAATACTAGTGTTACTACATAAAAAGCTTGTCTAATTTTATTGTTTATTTATTATTTTAGTATCATAAACATTTTGTGATAACTACCAAGACAAAACATGCTACTGTACACATGTCATTTTTCAAAGCATTATGCTATACTCATAAAAGTCCCTGCCTAAATTCCAATGTTTATGTAATTTTGTTATTTTTTGTTTACTAACATGGCTGTTATTTGAGGACCCCATTGGAAATAAGCTTTTTAATAAGGCTTTTATGGGCTATCCTTAGGTAATATTTATCAACTGTATGTCATGCAATGTATTTAATAATAATTACATATATATGTTAAATTGATCTTTCTTAATTAGCATAGTGCTGAGATAATGTGTGTGTATTTCTTTTTTCTAGTAGTATGCTAGTCTTTAATGTTTTAATTTGTTAATCATGACATTCTGTGATATTTTTACCTGAATAAAATGAAAAAGAGATATTTCTGTTAACAATTTGACAAATGTGTAGTATTTTGAAAATGATTTAAATTGATGATCCAGCATCAGTCCGACCCGCAGAACACCTTAAAATAAAACTCGAAGATATCCATTAAATTTAGTGTACTTATAATATATATTCAGTGTATTTATAAATATGGGTCCCCATAAATAATAATGAAATGATTAGTGCTCCAGAGGAAATTTACATAAAATTAAAAGAAAAACTTCAGCTTTAAATTAAGATTTTGTGAAAATAATGAAACATAAAAATCTGGGGACCAGCATATTTGAAATAAAATTTATATTCAATAAGGAATGCATTACCAATTTTCATTAAGCAAATTATCATCAGATGGAGCCAGTGCCTCTGCAATACCATCCTTGTCAGTTTTCTGCAGTTTTTCGGGGAGTGGATTTTTAATTATTGGTCTCCTTGGCATTGAATTCTTGGTCCAGTTGAAAATAGAGGGAACACTACCAGGTCTCAGAGTTGTCCTTACTGGTGTCCATTTATAGTCCTCTGCTTTAAAATGCCGTGAACAAACAACAGCTTCCTTGACCTAATGTGAAAAACGTGCAATTTTTTTGAATTCCTAAGGTGGCATATTAACTGAAGTCTTGTGATTGTCACTCAGCACTGTTGCGTCTCTTGTACTTGTATATCATGTTTAATGTATATAGTTTCTTTATTTTTACCACACTTAGTAAACAGCTGTAAAAATAAGTTGGGTCCCCATATACGAAATTTACAGACTTACACGTTACATGTATACAAAAATTTCCTATATTTCCCAATTTAATATTTATAAACAGTAATTGACACACTATATATAAATCCCATGTTGATATAGGTAGGTGTTATACTACGATTATCAATATTCTAGGCGGATTAGACCTTCCAACATAACGCCACAAGTGATGATGTATTTGTATGCTTATGTAAACAACATTCTCATGTCATTCATTCTTACGTTAAAAAGGGGTCCAGGATCCCTCCTTATGGCTTGAATCCATAATTTCCTGACAATTTCATTGCTTGGGAATTTGTGAAAAGACAATTCTGGGTGCAAGCGACCGTTGCCGTTACACAGAGGGACGCAACAATGCCTGTCGTTCTTCCCGATGCTGGGCGTCGCCATTTTTTTAGAGCTTCGAGCAACCGACCTTAGCCTCGTTTTGAGATCGAACGCGGGGCTTATGAATATTCTTTGAGAATGGAGTATAACTTGGCACATAAGTGGACTACACTAAGATACATATTCGGTGTTGCCTTTGTTACTAAAAATAGAAATTTCTGTGAAATACTTTCAAAATGCTACTCTTCCTACAGTTTTGGTCTGATTTTAATATAACTTGGCTCACAAGTAGACTACACTAAGATACATAATTCTATATATCGATTTTTGATTTCGATGAACTGTGTTGCCATGGTTACTTAAAATAGAAATTTCTCTGAAATACTTTTAAAATGCTACTCCTCCTACAGTTTTGGTCTGATTTTAATATAACTTAGCAGACTACACTAAGATACATAATTCTGTGTATTGATTTTTGATTTCGATGAACAGTGTTGCCTTTGTAACTATAAATAGAAATTTATGTGAAATCCTTATGAAATGCTACTCCTCCTACAGTTTTGTTCAGATTTCAATATAACTTGGCTCACAAGTAGACTACACTAAGATACATAATTCTTTATATCGATTTTTGATTTCGATGAACGGTGTTGCCTTTGTTACTATAAATAGAAATTTCTGTGAAATCTTTTTAAAATGCTACTCCTCCTACAGTTTTGGTCTGACTTCAATATAACTTGGCACATAAGTAGACTACACTAAGATGCATAAATC